GACGACATAGCTTATAAGAAAATCCGGGACCGAAAGCGTTTATATATGCACTTGGACACCATCTCACGGGTATGCAGGTCATGGAAAGAGTTCGCGGAGGCCAGGAAAAGCCGCTCGCTGCGTCTCTATACCTCCAAGATAGGCGGGGATTCATTCGATATTGACGAGATTGTGAAAGCAAAAAGAGTTGATCTAATGCACGTTGAGGATAAAGAACTTCCTCAATGCCTTGTTAGTCAACCCATGGGCTGGAAGATCCTTTCTGGGTCGGAATCGCAGGTACAGCGCATGGCCCATATTCAATGTCCCGACTTGCGACGCCTTATCCTGGTAGATTTCAAAGAAAAGGCAAGGCTATTCGATCCGAATTCCTTTCTTTCTTCGATAGAGGCGTTTACCAAAATCACATGGTTCGAGTGCCACACAGACAAATTCTACATGGGTCATCTTAATATTATAGACGATGAGAGGGAACCTGTAGAATTACCCAATGTCAAGACTTTGATCTGGAACACGAGGTCTCTTGTCTATTTTCTATATGATTACATCCTTCTCCCTTCACTCCAGCATTTCATAGTTCTTTCTAGGAAATCTGGTTCATGGTATGATGCCTCTAGGGTATCATTTATCCTTAAGCGGTATGGGCGCACCCTTCGTACGTTTTATTTGCGTGTAAAGAGCGAGGGTAATGAAATCGGAGACTTCCCTCCCTGGTCCGAAGTTCCTCGTCTCGAACACTTCGAAGTTGACGCGAACCTCAAGTTCAACTTTCAAGGTTTACCTCTTGAACATCCATTAAAAAGGATTATAGTGCGACACTGGTCGATCGATAACATCTCCACCTGGTTGGACTCCTCAAGTATGCAACATATTAGACTCCTTACTAGTAATCTGAAGTTTGAGGTCAGTCTATACGGGCCTTCTCTGGCACTTCGGACGAAGGAACAGGAGATGGATCGCTTATTTGCAAAGGCCAAGGAGAATAGCGTTCACCTTGAGGTTTTCGTTTTCGATTATCAGTCCAAGCCTATCGTGTCTGAATATGCCACAAAGCGGCTGACTTGACATAATCTATTAACTCTTTCAGATAATGACCCATTTTTTGAATCAAGATGATCGTTATGTATTGATATCGACTGCTTTCCATTGAATTATTTTCCCCAAGAAGTGAGATTAGTAGTCCATACGCAGAGTCTAGTCGCATTGAATAGAGGGAATCAGGTTGGTAACGCGCTTTTGAGCTCCGCCCAATGCAATCTTGTGACCTCGTCGTGTTCGTCAAGATGACAGTGAAATTTGGCAAATATTCCGTAAATGTCTCTCTTGACTACCAAAACATGACATACCAATTATGAACACCCGAATCATAGTCCTACCTTCCCCGCTCTGCGCGGGAACAAGTTCGAAGCACAATAGAAAACTCGCATCTTGTGACGGCATCCTGGCAAAACGTTATAGCACGCCACGAAGGGCCAGTTTCCGAGGTAATAGGAGGTATGCAGAGATTTAAACCTGACTGAATGTGGCGCGCCCTTTTCGACCTGCACATTCAGCCCCATGCAACACGTGAAAAAGGCACGCTCATCCCTAAGCATATAAACCCTTTCTTTGGGACGTGGGTCAAAGATCGACCTTCGTCATGCATTTTCCTACGCTAGCAGTCATCCTAACAACGTCTCTGGCTGCTCCTGTATGGAGCTCGGTGAGCCTATACAGACCACTTGTGGTGGGGAGAGATACACAACTTCGGGAAGAGTACGATTTTGTAATCGTTGGAGGCGGTACATCTGGGCTAGCTGTTGGTAATCGTCTAACGGAAAACACCTCCAGTGAGTCTCGAGTCTTTGTCCCTCATTCGATGAAGCTCAACTGCAGTCAGAGACCGTTCTCATTATTGAAAGTGGAGAATTAGATCAAGGAGAGGACTCGATGCTTGTACCACATCTGATAGGAACAACTGCTCCCAAGTACCTTTTCAATACCACCAGCACACCCCAGCCCGGGCTCGGAAATCGTACATTCTGGGTGCCTGCTGGGCGTGTCGTCGGAGGTGGAAGCGCCGTGAATGGCATGTTCTTTGATCGAGGATCAAAAGGCGACTATAATTTGTGGGAACAGCTTGGAAATCCGGGCTGGGGATGGAATGGACTACTCCCTTATTTCATCAAGGCAGGATTTTTTTAACTATCATTTGAGTTTTTGATTTACTCTATTTTGTAGAGCGAAACGTTCCATCCGCCAAGCCAAGAGGTCCAGCAGGAATTCAATCTCACATACGACCCTTCAGTCCATGGCACATCAGGCCCTGTACAGTCGAGCTACCCACCGTTCCTTTACCCTGCAATCCGTGAATAATTGCTTTTCTGGTTTTCCGTACAGGCGCTAATGTACTCACAGGCAGCTTCCTGAAAGTATTCAAAGAGTATGGTTCTCATGTTCCTCGTGACGGGGCTTCGGGAGACGCTTTGGGAGCGTTCTGGGTTCCAAATTCTCTAGACCCTTCGGAGATGATTCGGAGTTATGCACGGAATGCATATTATGATCCTATCACCGGAAGGTCCAACTTTCATCTCTTGACAGGAATGACTGCTTCCAAGATCATTTTCCAAGGCAAAACCGCGAAAGGTGTCCAGGTCAGTGGAAGGGGAAAAGGGTTCCAATGAAATCGCTCATAGTGGATCTAGTTCTCTTCAGCTAGGAACGAGGCGGTTCAGACGGTCAAAGCC